CAGCACCGCCAGGTACAGCAGGGACAGCACCAGCACCTCCAGAGGCAGCACCAGCACCAGTAGCAGCTCCAACTCCAGCACCTCCAGTAGCGCCAGAAGTACCGTCAGAAGGACCGACAGCCGTAGACTCAGCACCAGCACCCGCAGCATCTCCAGCCCGAGAGGCACCCCCAGCAGGACCGCCTCCAGGACCAACACTCGTAGACTCCGCGCCAGCACCCGCAGCAGCTCCAGCTCCAGAGGCACCCCCGGGCCCGGCAGCTCCAGTACTCTCAGTACGAGCACCTCCGGGACCCGGGGTACCAGCTCCCTCGGCAGCAACAGAACCTCCAGCACCCGCAGCACCCCCAGCTCCAGCAGCTCGCCTCCAGCGCCGGGCAAACCACTCACGCAGCTCCAGAGGAGAGAGCTGCTCGCGGCGCGAAGAAAGGTCCGGAGAACCACCAGGAACAGAAGAAGCAGGCGAAGCACCCCCAAACGCAGTACTCCTAGGCTCAGCACCCCCTGGCTCAGCACCCCCAGGCTCAGCACCTCCAGGCTCCGCACCCCCAGGCTCAGCACCCCCAGTCTCAGCACCCCCAGGCTCAGCACCCCCAGTCTCAACACCCCCAGGCTCAGCACCCTCAGGCTCAGCACCCCCATGCTCCGCACCCGCAGCAGCACCAGAGTCACCAGTGAACTCGACAGGCTCGACCGCGTCTACCTAAGACACACCTGAGGGGGCAGGACCCCGAGGGGGGAGAGGGTCTACCGGGGGGGGACCTGGGACCAGGAAGAGGGGCGGCGGGGGGACGGACGTAGTGCGGTAGGGGAAGAGCCAGTAGAAGGGAACGGACTCTTCCAACGTGACGTCCTGGGAGGACAGAACACGACGAGAGGTGGGGTGGTAAAACTGCCACCCAGGTGCGTCAGGGGGGAAACCCAGGAAGACGCAAGGAGCAGCACGACAGGACAGCTTGTCCGCAGATAAGTCGCGGACAAACGCCCGAGATCCCCAGACACGGAACGCCGACGCATCGCCAACCTTCCCCGTCCACAGCAAATCTGGGGAGGACTCCGGCCTGGAGACCCTGGGCTGAAGGTTGATCTGATGCGCCGCGTACCGAACCGCAAACGGCCACAGAAAATGGGGGGCAGCCGCATGCACCATGGATGTACGGGCGACGTCCATGACAATGCCGATGCGGCGCTCAGCAATCCCATTCTGCTGTGGAGAGTCCGGAAGCGTGAAGGTCTGGCGGATGCCTCGTGCACGACAGTAGGCTCGCAGAAGGCCGGAGGAGAACTCTCCGCCTCTGTCCGAGTGTAGACGCAAAACAGGAAAGTCTGAGCCGAAGCTCCGCCGGAGCTGGAGACGAGCTGCGCGGATCCAGTCGATCAACACCTCAGTGACCTCAGCCTTGCTGCGCAAGGGGAAGACTGTGGTGTAACGCGAGTAGTCGTCAACCACCAGCAGGAAGTAGCGCTCGTGACCCTGTCCACGGACGCGGGCTGGGCCCCACACGTCCATGTGAAGCGTCTGCATCGGGGCCTTCGTCGGAGGAAACGGGGAGGAGTGAGGGGTAGCCCGCAGGCGACCCTCGACACAGGGGACACAGGGAGGGCCAGGCCCCGGAGGAAGGGGAGGGAGGGACCGGGAAAGACCAGAGACAAGAAGGCGAGAGGCCATGCCCCGGAGACGAGGCAGGGAGGGGTGACCCATGCGGTGGTGCCACAGGAGGGTCTCGTGGGACAGGAGGCGACACGAGCAGGGGGCAGACTCAGGACTAGACCTGGACGCTGCAGCAAACACCTGACCCGACGCAGCTACCTGACCAGACGCAGGAGGAGGAGACGGAACAGTGAGTGTGTACAGGCTCGACCCTGGCCCACGTGTGAACGTGGTCAAGTGTCGACCCGTGTCCGAGTCCGTGCAGTGGGTGTCCCGTCGGCGTGCAGGGGTGAACTAAACAACCCCTGCATCCTGTAGGTCAGCACCAGCCACCAAGTTCGTAGAGAACGAGGGGAGGTAGAGACCGGACAGGGAGCCAGACGGGACCGCTGGGCACGGAAGGACAGTAGAGTAGCGAGCCAGAACAGGACCCCCAGAGGGGTCCGCGAGGGAGACTGCCACCGGCCGACTAAGCGGCGTGAGTGTGGTGCGGTCTCAAAAGAAGGAGCGAGACGCTCCTGAGTCAAGAGTGAAGGCGAGGGAGGGCGGAGCCGACGCAGTACATGAGAGAGCAGACTCACCAGCATCTGAGGACACAGACTCACTGGCACCTAGAGCAACAGCCTCACCAGCACCTGGAGAAGTAGCCTCAACAGCACCTAGAGCCGCAGTACCAATGCCCGGGTCGGGCGGGAAACACCGGTAACAGTCACCCTCCTCACTAATAGTCATAGCATACATGGCACGAAGAATAGCATCAAAGTCAAGATCAAAGATAGCTACTCCTGCCCTAGACAGCTGGTCCCAGCGAGGGATCTCAGTGGCCTCAGGAAACTTGCGGCGCCAAGCGTCAGTCAGGCGGCCAAAGCAGCGCTGAGTGGAGTGTGGACCACCACACGGCTCACCCGCACGGTCGCCAGTGCGCAGGACGTAGGTGCACGGACCAGTACCCCCACCCCTCTGACGTGCAGTGTACCACTCACGGAGTTGCTGCGGGGAGAGGGTCTCCTGACCACGCTGCTGCTTCTGCCGCCTCCGCCGCCACCTCCACCACCTCCGCCACCACCTCCACTCCCACCGCCGCCGCCACCGTCGGCTCCGCCTCCACTCCCACCGCCACCGCCGCCTCCTCCTCCGCCTCCACAGCCGCCACTGACACCAACGCCCCCACCACCACTCCCACCACCACCCCCACCTCCTCCGCTGCCTCCGCCGCCACCTCCACTGCCCACGCCAGCTCCTCCGGCTCCCCGGCCTCCCCTGCTCCTGCCAGAGCGACGTCTCCCACTAGGGGCAGACGCAGCACCGACCGACTCCAAGCCAACGAGGTCGGCCGTAGCAGCAGAGGCGACAGAGGGCAGGAGGGGGGAGGGGGAACACCCCTCAAAGATGGGGGTGCGCGGGTCACCACGAGAGGCTCCTGCAGCGAGAATGCTCTTCTCGGCCGCTAGGAGGGACTTCTCGAGGAGGTCAACAGTGAGAATGGTGGGGCAGACTGAGAGGAAGTCGTCCCTGACTCCGCGAAGGGAGTCAGGGAGGCGAGTGACAATGTAGTAGAGAGTGATGTACATGGGGGGGGGGGTTCTTGGCGCAGAACTCAGCAGAAAGTGCAGCGCGGTAGCGAGCGTCACTAGTGCGCAGGTGGGTAATGAGGTCGGCGACTGTGGCAAAGGAAGCAAGGTCGGGAAAGAGGTTCGGTAGCATGAGGCGGCTCAGTGCAAAAGTGGCAGGGGAGGAGTAGCGTGCAATAATGGCGTCGTACAAGGTCTGAGCACTCTTGTACGACCCAAAGTGTGCACGCTCAGAGGGAGGGAGGTGGCGACGCACAGCAAGACGTGCAGCAGCATCGCGGGTGGCCCACTGTGAGCGAACAGTGGGATCCTCAGTAGCAGCAGGGGCGGGAGAGGCACCAGAACTGAGATCAAAGAGAGAGAGGCCGTCAGCTCTGTCGCACTGTAGCAAAAGCAGTAGGTCGTCCACCCACACGTCAAAGTCAATGGCTCTGCCCTCAGCGTCAAAGGTGAGGACACTGGGGGTAGCCATGACAGCAGTAGGGTGAGGGCAGTGCTTAGTGCTCACCAGACAGGGTAGTGGAGACGGCTCGGGCGGCTCGGCGGCTCGGCTGCTGGGCGGCTCGGACGGCTCGGCGGCTCGGGCGGCTCGGCGGCACGGGCGGCTCGGGCAGCTCGGCTGCAGGGCGGCTCGGCTGTTGGGGCGGCTCGGCTGCTGGGGCGGCTCGGCTGCTGGGGCGGCTCGGCTGCTGGGGCGGCTCGGCTGCTGGGGCGGCTCGGCTGCTGGGGCGGCTCGGCTGCTGGGGCGGCGGGGCCGGGAGATGCAGCGGCGGGGCCGGGAGATGCAGTGGCGGGGCCGGGAGGCGCAGCGGCGGGGCCGTCAGGTGCAGGAGCGGGGCCGGCAGGTGCAGCAGCGGGGCTGTCAGGTTAGACGGCGGGGCCGGCAGGTGCAGCAGCGGGGCCGTCAGGGGTAGCGGCGGGGCCGGTAGGTGCAGTGGTGGAGCCGTCAGAGGGGACGGCGGGGCCGTCAAGTGCAGCGGCGGGGCCGTCTGAAGCAGCGGCGGGGCCGGCAGAGGGGACGGCGGAGCCGTCGGGTGCAGCGGCGGGGCCGGCAGAGGGGACGGCGGGGCCGTCAAGCGCAGCGGCGGGGCCGACAGACGGGACGGCGGGGCCGTCGCAGGCGATCGCGGGGCCGTCAGCGACGGCACCGGCGTCGCGAGGGTCAGAGGGGGCGGCGCGGGCGGCGCGAGGGCGGCGCGACGCGGCCTAAGGTCGGCGCGACGTGGCCCAGGTCGCGCGCGCGAAAAAAAAGGTCGCGCGCGCGTGACTTGCGGGGGCCACAAGGGCAGCTCGATAAGCACTAGGGGGAGCGCGCCTCGGGGAGAGTAAGGCGCGCTCCGGGCAGGAAAAAGTTCGCTGTGGTGGGCCCTTAAAAACGGTCCTTAGGAAGGACCCGCTCTATACCATGTTGAGATGAGAGAAAGGAATTGACTATGAAATGAACACAGTGATACAAGTATCAACCCTAACTGGGTTGTACCCTCTACAGTCTACCCATAGCAGCCTATATTACAAGCATCAGTATAATCTGACAGGTCCACTATTCACCCTCAGTAAACTTGAAAACCAAGTTGTACTTACGTGCAGCCATCTTGAGTCTAGGACACTTAGTGCGCTCCGATTTTCTAGACCACAAGAGCGCGTAATATCGCTTTTAGACAATGGACATGTGACGGCTAGAACCTTGGAGCAGTCTGACGGTTTTCCCCACTTACGAAAAAAAAGATTAGCCAGCAACAAGAAATACGTCACCCGTCACGCCCAAATCTACAGGGTCGATGGAGCTCGCATTTTACGTTCGAAGCGCACGGATCAAGCGCACAAAACGGGCCCTAGCCTCACACTTACGTTCGACGTACCCGTCCCACTCTCTTACGCCCATCAAACTCCCTCCCGCCGTCGCCCTACTGCCCATCGCTCTCCCTAGCGCTCGTCGCACTCACTTCCGCCGCCACCTTCCCTTCCGCCCGTCGCACTCACCTCCGCCGTCACCTTCCCTTCCGCCCGTCGCACTCACTTCCGCCGTCACCTTCCCTTCCGCCCGTCGCACTCACTTCCGCCTTCACCAGAGCCAATCCGCCCGTCGCACTCACTGAACCCCGTCACCTTCCCTTCCGCCCGTCGCACTCACTTCCGCCGTCGCCCTCCCTTCCGCCGTCACCTTCCCTTCCGCCCAGAGCACTCATTTCCGCCGTCGCCATCCCTTACGCCTGCACCCTCCCTTCCGCCGTCGCCATCCCTTCCCCCCGACACCTTCCCTTCCGCCTGTCGCACTCACTTCCGCCATCGCCCTCCCTTCCGCCGTCACCTTCCCTTCCGCCCAGAGCACTCATTTCCACCGTTTCCATCCCTTCCGCCCGTCGCTCTCGATTCCACCGTCGCACGGCGTTACGCCCTCACCTTCCCTTCCGCCCGTCGCCGTCCCTTCCGCCGTCGCCTCCCTTCCGCCCGTCACCGTCCCTTCCGCCGTCGCCCTCCATTCCGCCCGTCGCCCCCCTTTGTCTCGTCGCGCTCCCTGTTGCTCATCGCCCTCCCTCCGGCTCGTCCCCTCACAATCCCCGTATCTCTCGCCCCTCGTCGCCCTGGCATTCCCGTCAATGCTTCCCCCGTGTCCCTTCTCTGCTTCTCCCCATGTCCCCGTCCCTGCTACCCCCCACGCCCTTCCATGCTTCCCCCCATCCCCTTCCCTGCGTCCCCATGTCCCTTTCCCTGCTTCCCCCCATCCCCTTCCCTGCTTCCCCGTGTCCCCTACCCTGCTTCACCCCATCCCCATTCCTGCTTCCCAATGTCCCCTTCCCTGCTTCCCCATGTCCCTTTCGCTAATTCCCCCCATCCCCTTCCCTCCTTCCCCCCATTCCCTTCCTTTATATTCCCCCCATCCCCTTCCCTGCTTCCCCATGTCCCCTACCCTGCTTCCCCATGTCCCTTTCCCCCATCCCCTTCCCTTCTTCCCCCCATCCCCTTCCCTCATATTCCCCCATCCCCTTCCCTGCTTCCCCATGTCCCCTTCCCTGCTTCCCCATGTCCCTTTCGTTAATTCCCCCCATCCCCTTCCCTTCTTCCCCCCATTCCCTTCCCTTATATTCCCCCATCCCCTTCCCTGCTTCCCCATGTCCCTTTCCCTGATTCCCCCCATCCCCTTCCCTTCTTCCCCCCATCCCCTTCCCTTCTTCCCCCCATCCCCTTCCCTCATATTCCCCCTGTCCCCTTCCCTGCTTCCCCCTTCCCTTTCCGTGATTCCCCCCGGCCCCTTCCCTCATATTCGCCCTGTCCCCTTCCCTGCTTCCCCCTTTCCTTTCCCTGATTCCCCCCATCCCCTTCCCTTATATTCCCCCATCCCCTTCCCTGCTTCCCCATGTCCCCTTCTCTGCTTCCCCATGTCCCTTTCGCTAATTCCCCCCATCCCCTTCCCTTCTTCCCCCCATCCCCTTCCCTCATATTCCCCCATGCCCTTCCCTCATATTCCCCCTGTCCCCTTCCCTGCTTCCCCCTTTCCTTTCCCTGATTCCCCCCATCCCCTTCCCTCATATTCCCCCATTCCCTTCCCTTATATTCCCCCATCCCCTTCCCTTCTTCCCCATGTCCCCTTCTCTGCTTCCCCATGTCCCTTTCGCTAATTCCCCCCATCCCCTTCCCTTCTTCCCCCCATCCCCTTCCCTCATATTCCCCCATGCCCTTCCCTCATATTCGCCCTGTCCCCTTCCCTGCTTCCCCCTTTCCTTTCCCTGATTCCCCCAATCCCCTTCCCTTATATTCCCCCATCCCCTTCCCTGCTTCCCCATGTCCCCTTCTCTGCTTCCCCATGTCCCTTTCGCTAATTCCCCCCATCCCCTTCCCTTCTTCCCCCCATCCCCTTCCCTCATATTCCCCCATGCCCTTCCCTCATATTCGCCCTGTCCCCTTCCCTGCTTCCCCCTTTCCTTTCCCTGATTCCCCCCATTCCCTTCCCTCATATTCCCCCCTTCCCTCCTTCCCCCCATTCCCTTCCCTTATATTCCCCCATCCCCTTCCCTGCTTCCCCATGTCCCTTTCGCTAATTCCCCCCATCCCCTTCCCTCCTTCCCCCCATTCCCTTCCCTTATATTCCCCCATCCCCTTCCCTGCTTCCCCATGTCCCCTTCCCTGCTTCCCCATGTCCCCGTCTCTGCTTCCCCATGTCCCTTTCACAACAAAGGCCGCATATGCTTTGATATGTTCGCGCTGCCCTTCGTGGCATGCTTGCATGCTTGCGCTGCTGAATGTACACTCGATCTACTCATATTGGACATGCCGGGAATACTATACAACACAAGAGGGCATTCACACGCACGATGGGTAAGACAGATACCAACGTGGGATGATGGGCAATAGGGCATGATTATTGATGGCGTGCAACTGGATGCTCAACATTATGGGTTAACTAGCATATGAAGTACTTGGGCAGTTGGCCCAAGTGCTGCGGATAATGGGGCACTTGATATGAATCACATATGAAGCTGGAACATGGGCGGCGGAATATAAGACAAGTGAAATGCCTAGGGCCACGCCTGCGACACCAGCGAGGCATGCAACCCCGCACAACCCTTGAAGACCATGGCTGATGGGGACAAGTGGTGATATGCCCCTGGAACCCTGCACACATGTTTGCGTTATGACTACGATGCAAATGACTCAGCTCCTGGCACTGCCAACTATGTGTCACTAGTGAGGGATGGTTAGAGTAGCACTGACCTGCCAAGGTTGCAGTGCGATGTGCTGCCGTTCCGGCCTAAACCCAGCTGAAAGGATGACAGACAAACTCAACAGTGCAACAGCAAAACGTCTTTTGGAACCTTGGCAAATGGCAAAGGGCGTAAGCAGGGAAGGGGATGGGGGAAAGCAGGGAAGGGGAGGGAGGGAAGCAGGGAAGTGGATGGGGGGAAGCATGTAAAAGGATAGGGGGAAGAAGGGAGGGGGATGGGGGAAGCAGCGTAGAGGACACGGGGAAGCAGGGAAGGGGATACGGGGAAGCAGAGAAGGGGGTGGGCGGAAGCAGGGAAGGGGATGGGGGGAAGCAGGGACCGGGTTGGGGGGAAGTAGGGAATGGGATGGAGGGAAGCAAGGAAAGGGACACGGGGAAGCAGGGAAGGGGATGGGGGGAAGCAGGGAAGGGGTTGGGGGGAAGCATGTAAAGGGATGGGGGGAGAAAGGGAAGGGGATGGGGGGAAGCAGGGAAGGGGATGGGGGGAAGTACGGAATGGGATGGGGGGAAGCTGGGAACGGGACACGGGGAAGCAGGAAAGGGGATGCAAGACAAGTGAAATGTAATGCAGCAACACTAGGCGCTGCTGTGCTCGCAAGGGTCAGAACACATGCTGTGTTAGATGCAGTTGAGACGACCATGGCCGTGACATTTGCAGGAAGCCCGATAGATTCCGTGTGAATAACCGCAGTGACGTGGTGGGAGAGAGACGCTGAACAAGTGACGCATGTTGCTGTGGCTGCAGCCACAGCACACCTGCGGTTTGCTATGCAACAAGAGATAGTCTTGCAGATAGTTTGTAGTTACTTACATGCCAAGGCGATGGTGCGATGTGTTGTTCTTCCTGTGCAGCCTCCTCGATCACTGTCGTGGACAAGCTTTCTGCCACGACTGCAGCAACATGTCCGAACAGCAGTAGCACAGGGGCAACCAGACTCCATTACCGCAATGCATGAGGCACCGGACCTTGATGGACGAGTACGAGTTCATCTGCAATAGTAGCTCCACGAGTCATTGACGACAACTAACCTGCCAGGGAATGTTGAGAACTGCTGTTCTTGTATTGGCTGCCCGGAGAAATGAATGATTTCCACTCTCAGAAGCGCAACAACCGAAGCAACACGGCCTGCATGGAGATCACAAACAATTCAAGCGCAAAGACAACAATACTAAGTCAGAGATGGGCACATGGAGAAGCAGGGACGGGGACACGGGGACGCAGGGAAGAGCGTGGGCGGAAGCAGGGAAGGGGATGGGAGGAAGCAGGGAAGGGGATGGGGGGATGACGAGGAGGGGACATGGGGAAGCAAAGGAGGGGACATGGGGAAGCAAGGAGGGGGATGACGGGAAGCAGGGAAGGGGATGGGGGGAATCAGGAATGGGGATGGGGTGAAGCAGGGAAGGGGACACGGGGAAGCAGGGAAGGGGGTGGGCGGGAGCGGGGAAGGAGTTGGGAGGAAGCAGGGAAGGGGATGGGGGGAAGCAGGGAAGGGGATGGGGGGAAGCAGGGATGGGGATGGGGGGAAGCAGGGAAGGGGACATGGGGAATCAGGGAAGGGCGTGGGGGGAAGCAAAGAAGAGGATGGGGGGAAGTAGGGAAAGGGACATGCGGACGCAGGAGGAGGGGACATGGGGAAGCAGGGAAGGGGGTGTGGGGAAGCATATAAAGGGTGTCCCTACAAGATGGGAAGGGGATGGGGGGAAGCAGGGTAGGGGACATGGGGAAGCAGGGAAGGGGATGGGGGAAAGCAGGGAAGGGGACTTGGTGAAGCAGGGAAGGGGATGGGGGGAAGTAGGGAATGGGATGGGGGGAAGCAGGGAAAGGGACACGGGGAAGCAGGGAAAGGGATGGGGGGAGGCAGGGAAGTGGATGGGGGGAAAGCATGTAAAGGGATGCGGGGAGAAAGGGAAGGGGATGGGGGGAAGCAAGGAAGGGGACATGGGAAGCAGGGAAGCGGATGCGGGGAAGCAGGAAAGAGCATGGGGGGAAGGATGTAAAAGGATGGGGGGAAGAAGGGAAGGGGATGGGGGGAAGCAGGGAAGGGTATGGGGGGAACCAGGAATGGGGATGGGGTGAAGCAGGGAAGGGGACACTTGGAAGCAAGGAAGGGGATGGGGGGAATCAGGGAAGGGGATGGGGGGAAGCAGGGATGGGGATGGGGGGAAGCAGGGAGGGGGACATGGGGAAGCAGGGAAGGGCGTAGGGGGAAGCAAAGAAGAGGATGGGGGGAAGCAGGGAAAGGGACATGCGGAAGCAGGAGGAGGGGACATGGGGAAGCAGGGAAGGGGGTGTGGGGAAGCATGTAAAGGGTGTCCCTAGAAGATGGGAAGGGGATGGGGGGAAGCAGGGTAGGGGACATGGGGAAGCAGGGAAGGGGATGGGGGAAAGCAGGGAAGGGGACTTGGTGAAGCAGGGAAGGGGATGGGGGGAAGTAGGGAATGGGATGGGGGGAAGCAGGGAAAGGGACACGGGGAAGCAGGGAAAGGGATGGGGGGAGGCAGGGAAGTGGATGGGGGGAAGCATGTAAAGGGATGCGGGGAGAAAGGGAAGGGGATGGGGGGAAGCAAGGAAGGGGACATGGGAAGCAGGGAAGCGGATGCGGGGAAGCAGGAAAGAGCATGGGGGGAAGGATGTAAAAGGATGGGGGGAAGAAGGGAAGGGGATGGGGGGAAGCAGGGAAGGGTATGGGGGGAACCAGGAATGGGGATGGGGTGAAGCAGGGAAGGGGACACTTGGAAGCAAGGAAGGGGATGGGGGGAATCAGGGAAGGGGATGGGGGGAAGCAGGGATGGGGATGGGGGGAAGCAGGGAGGGGGACATGGGGAAGCAGGGAAGGGCGTGGGGGGAAGCAAAGAAGAGGATGGGGGGAAGCAGGGAAAGGGACATGCGGAAGCAGGAGGAGGGGACATGGGGAAGCAGGGAAGGGGGTGTGGGGAAGCATGTAAAGGGTGTCCCTAGAAGATGGGAAGGGGATGGGGGGAAGCAGGGTAGGGGACATGGGGAAGCAGGGAAGGGGATGGGGGAAAGCAGGGAAGGGGACTTGGTGAAGCAGGGAAGGGTATGGGGGGAAGTAGGGAATGGGATGGGGGGAAGCAGGGAAAGGGACACGGGGAAGCAGGGAAAGGGATGGGGGGAGGCAGGGAAGTGGATGGGGGGAAGCATGTAAAGGGATGCGGGGAGAAAGGGAAGGGGATGGGGGGAAGCAAGGAAGGGGACATGGGAAGCAGGGAAGTGGATGCGGGGAAGTAGGGAAGAGCATGGGGGGAAGGATGTAAAAGGATGGGAGGAAGAAGGGAAGGGGATGGGGGGAAGCAGGGAAGGGTATGGGGGGAACCAGGAATGGGGATGGGGTGAAGCAGGGAAGGGGACACGGGGAAGCAAGGAAGGGGATGGGGGGAAGCAGGGAAGGGGATGGGGGGAAGCAGGGATGGGGATGGGGGGAAGCAGGGAAGGGGACACGGGGAAGCAGGGAAGGTGATGGGGGACAGTAGGGAAAGGGACATGGGGAAGCAGGGAAGGGGATGGGGAAATGAGGGAAGGGGATGGCGGGAGGAAGGGAAGAAGATCCAGGGGAGCAGGGAAAGGGACACGGGGAAGCAAGGAAGGGGACATGGGAAGCAGGGAAAGGGAAGACGGGGAAGCATTGGGGGAAGAAGGGAAGGGTATGGGGGGAAGAAGGGAAGGGGACATGGGGAAGCAGGGAAGGGGACCTGGAGAAGCGAGGGAGGGGACATGGGGAAGCATGGGCTGCGGATGGCTTTGTGGAAACTGACCTGCACGTGGGCGATGGTGCGCCCTTCGTCCTCTGGCAGCCTCCTCGACCGCTGATGCTCAGGTTTTGTGCCACGGCTGTAGCTTCAAGTGCGGAATGGCATGCAACCCCGTTCTGCAGCTGGACAAAGGCAACCAGAGCCAATTCCCGCAATGCATGAGGCACGAGACATTCATGCACGACAACGAGATGCTATGCGACTGCAACAGCATTGATTCGCTGAGTGTAGATGATGTTTACAGAGAGGCGCGGACGGAAAATCACGTGCCAGTGCAGTGTGATTTGAATTCGAGATGTGATACAACTTCAGCGACCAACGCAGTGCCCAGGCTGAGGCAACTATGTCAGATTATTATAGCTGATGCATGTTTGTAGGCTATAGTGGGGTAGCACATATGGGGTACAGTTTGCTAGGGTTGTATTTGTACCCAACTCTGACTTAGTCAATTCATTCCTCTGCTCATAGTTTCACATGGTATAGAGCTAGGTCCTTCCAGGACCGAATTTTTTTTTTTGGGCCCACCGAAGCGCGCCCCGAGGCGCGCCCTAAACCCTAAACCCTTCGGGTCGCCCTCTCCCCTGCGGCCCCGCCGCCTGCCCCTTACGCGGCCCCGCGCTGGCCCCTTACGCGGCCCTGCGCCGCCGGCTCCTACGCGGCTCCGAGCCGGCCCCTTACGCGGCCCTGGGCCGCCGGCTCCTACTCGGCCCCTTACGCGGCCCCGCGCCGGCCTCCTTCTCGGCCCCGCCGCCGGCCTCCTACACGGCCCGCCGCCGGCCTCCTACTCGGCCCGCCACCGGCCTCCTACACGGCCCGCCGCCGGCCTCCTACTCGGCCCGCCGCCGGCCTCCTACACGGCCCCGCCGCCGGCTCCTACTCGGCTCCGCCGCCGGCCTCCTACACGGCCAGCCGCCGGCCTCCTACACGGCCCGGCCCCGGCTCCTACTTGGCCCGCCGCCGGCCTCCTACTCGGCCCGCCGCCGGCCTCCTACACGGCCCCGCCGCCGGCTCCTACTCGGCCCCGCCGCCGGCCTCCTACTCGGCCCGCCGCCGGCCTCCTACTCGGCCCGCCGCCGGCCTCCTACACGGCCCCGCCGCCGGCTCCTACTCGGCCCCGCCGCCGGCCTCCTACTCGGCCCGTCGCCGGCCTCCTACTCGGCCCGCCGCCGGCTCCTACTTGGCCCTACCGCCGGCCCTACCGCCGGCCTTGTCCCGGCCCCGCCACTGCACTGCAGCCGAGCCGCCCAGCAGCAGCCGAGCCGCCCAGCAGCAGCCGAGCCGCCCAGCGGCATCCGAGCCGCCCAGCAGCAGCCGAGCCGCCCAGCAGCAGCCGAGCCGCCCCGCAGTAGCCGAGCCGCCCCGCAGTAGCCGAGCCGCCCGGTACCTGAGCAGCCCGAGCCGCCTGAGCTGCACGAGCAGCCCGAGCCGCCTGCTGCTGACCTACCCGACTCTCCCATCCCGGTGAGACTTTCAGCTGCTGCTATGGCCACCCCCAATGTTCTCACTTTTGACGCTGAGGGGAGGGCCATTGACTTTGCCGTCTGGATCGAGGATCTGCAGCTGTACTTACTGTGTGATGCGGTAGATGAGGTCTCTCTCTTTGACTTTGTCTCTGGCGCTGTCCCTGCCCCGCCTGCTGATGCTGACTCTGCCGTTCGCTCCAAGTGGGCGACCCGCGATGCTGCTGCACGTCTTGCTGTGCGTCGCCACCTCCCTTCCTCTGAGCGTGCCCACTTTAGTCAGTGCAAGACCGCTCAGGCCTTGTACGACGCTGTAGTTGCGCGCTACTCCTCCCCTTCCTCCGCTACCCTTAGCCGCCTCATGCTACCGTTTCTCTTCCCTGACCTCGCTTCCTTTCCCACTGTCGCTGACCTCGTTACCCACCTCCGCGCTAGTGACACCCGCTACCGCGCTGCCCTTCCTGCTGAGTTCCGCGCTGCGAACCCTCCTCCCATGTACATCACTCTCTACTTTCTCGTCACCCGTCTTCCTGAGTCCCTTCGTGTCGTTAGGGACCAGTTTCTCTCTGTCTGTCCCACCACTCTCACTGTCGACCTCCTTGAGGAGTCCCTGCTAGCGGCTGAGAAGAGTATTGTCGCTGTAGGGGCCTCTCGGGGTGACCCTCGCACCCCCATCTTTGAGGGGTGTGGTCCCTCCCCCCTGCTGCCCTCTGTCGCCTCTGCCGCTGCGGCCGACCTCGTTGGTTTTGAGTCGGTCGGCGCGGCGTCTGCCCCCAGTGGCAGACGCCGCACTGGCAAGGGCAAGGGGGGCAAGGGAGCGGGTGGAGCCAGAGGGGGCGGTGGAGGAGGCGGTGGGGGTGGAGGGGGGAGTGGGGGTGGCGGGGGGGGTGGTGGCGGGAGTGGAGGTAATAGTGGCGGCGGTGGAGGCGGAGGTGGCGGCGGAGGTGGTAGCGGAGGAGGCGGTGGGAGCGGTGGGAGCGACGGTCCTGGTGGGGGAGGTGGCGGTGGCGACGGGGGTGGCGGTGGAGGCGGGGGTGGCGGTGGAGGAGGGGGTCGGAGTGGCTCGTCCCAGCGGAGCAGCTCTTGGGGTGGTCAGCGCCAGCAGCAGCAGCAGCAGCAGCCACAGCAGCAGCCGCAGCAGCAGCAGCGCTCTCGCACCGTCCCCGGCCCTCAGCAGCTCCGTGAGTGGTACTTGCAGCGTCAGCGCGGTGGTGCGCTTGGTCCCTGCCCCTACGTTCTTCGCACTGGTGACCGTGCAGGGGAGAGGTGTGGAGGCGCCCACACAGCCCGTCGCTGCTTTGGCCGCCTGACCGACGCCTGGCGTCAGCAGTTTCCGGAGGCCGCTGAGATCCCCCGCTGGGGAGAGCTGTCTAGGGCTGGTGTAGCTATTTATGATCTTGATTTTGATGCTATTCTCTCTGCTATGTATGCTGTGACTGGTAGTGATGAGGATGACTGTTACCGGTGTTTCCCGCCCGACCCGGGCATTGGTACTGCCGCGTCAGGTACTAGTGAGGCTGCTGCTCTAGGTGCCAGTGCGTCTGTGCTTTCAGGTACTGGTGAGTCCGCCCTCTCAGGTACTGTGTCGGCTTCGGCCTCTCACACCTTCACCCTTGACTCTGGAGCGTCTCGCTCCTTCTTTAGGGACCGCACCACTCTCACGCCGCTGAGTCGGCCTGTTGCGGTGTCCCTGGCGGACCCCTCTGGGGGGCCTGTCCTGTCTCGCTTCTCCACTGTCCTCCCGTGTCCGGCGGCCCCCTCTGGCACCCTGACTGGTCTCTACCTCCCCTCGTTCTCGACGAACTTGGTGAGTGGTGCTGACCTCCAGGATGCAGGTGTCCACCAGTTCACCCCTGCTCGTCAGCGGGTGACCCACTGTACGGAGGCGGATACAGGTCGCCACCTGGCTACGTTTACACGTCGGCCGGGGTCGAGCCTGTACACACTGACCACTGCTTCTCCTCCAGGTACTGCGTCTGGTAGGGCCCCTTCGTCTGGTCAGGTGTTTGCTGCAGCGTCCAGGTCTGGTCCTGAGTCTGCCCCTTGTTCGTGTCGTCGTCTGTCTCACGAGACCCTCCTCTGGCACCACCGCCTTGGCCACCCCTCTCTGCTTCGGCTCAGAGGCATGGCCTCGCGGGTCCTTGTGTCTGGTCTTCCCCGGTCCCTCCCTCCCCTTCCTCCGGGCCCTGGCCCTGCCTGTGTCCCCTGTGTCGAGGGGCGCCAGCGTGCTGCCCCTCACTCCTCCCAGTTTCCTCCGACAGAGGCCCCGTTGCAGACGCTTCACATGGACGTGTGGGGCCCAGCCTGCGTCCGTGGACAGGGTCAGGAGCGCTACTTCCTGCTAGTGGTTGACGACTACTCGCGTTACACCACAGTCTTCCCCTTGCGCAGCAAGGGTGAGGTCACTCAGGTGTTGATCGACTGGATCCGCGCAGCTCGTCTTCAGCTTCGGAGAAGCTTTGGCTCTGACTTCCCTGTCTTGCGTCTGCACTCGGACAGAGGCGGAGAGTTCTCCTCGGCCCTCCTGAGTGCCTACTGTCGTGTGCGAGGCATCCGTCAGACCTTCACGCTTCCGGACTCACCACAGCAGAATGGGATCGCTGAGCGCCGCATTGGCATGGTCATGGACGTCGCTCGTACGTCCATGATGCATGCGGCTGCTCCCCATTTTCTGTGGCCGTTTGCGGTCACGTACGCTGCGCACCAGATCAACCTCCACCCCAGGGTCTCTCGACCGGAGACCTCCCCAGCTCTGTTGTGGACGGGGAAGGTTGGCGATGCGTCGGCGTTCCGGGTCTGGGGATCTCGGGCGTTTGTTCGCGACCTGTCTGCGGACAAGCTGTCCCCTCGTGCTTCTCCCTGCGTCTTCCTCGGGTTCCCCCCCGACGCCCCTGGGTGGCAGTTTTACCACCCCACCTCTCGACGTGTTCTGTCCTCCCAGGACGTCACGTTCGACGAGTCGGTACCCTACTACCGCCTCTTCCCCTACCGCACTCCGTCCCTCCCCCCACCCCCCCTCTTCTTGGTACCAGGTCCCCCCCCAGTAGTCCCCCTCCCCCCTCAGGGTCCTGCCCCTTCAGGTGTGTCTCAGGTAGACGCGGTCGAGCCTGTCGAGGTCACTGGTGACTCCGGTGCTGCTGGGGGAGCTGAGCCTGGGGGTGCGGAGTCTGGGGGTGCTGGGCCTGGGGGTGCTGAGCCTGGGGGTGCTGAGCCTGGGGGTGCTGTGCCTGGGGGTGCTGTGTCTGGGGGTACTGAGCCTGGGGGTGCTGAGCCGGGAGGTGCCGAGCCTGGAGGTGCTGTGCCTGGGGGTGCTTCGTCTCACCGGGAGCCGCTCTCTCCACAGGAGCTGCGTGAGTGGTTTGCCCGGCGCTGGAGGCGTGCCGCTGGTGCTGGTGGTTCTTCGGCTGCGGAGGGCGCTGCTGCCACGCGACCTGACGGTGCTCGTCCTGTGGGTGCTGGAGCTGCTGGGTCTGAGTGTTCTCCTGGAGCTGGTCCTGCTGAGGACGTTGGCGCTGAGCCTGCGGTTGGTGGTCCGACTGACGGTGCTCCTGGTGCTGCTGCTGGAGGTTCTGGAGCTTCTGGTGGTTCTGCTGGAGGTGCTGCTGGAGTGGGTGCTCCTGCCGGGGGTGCTGGTGCTGTTCCTGCTGTTTCTGGCGTCGCCGCGCGGCCTCGACCGTACTTCGTTCCGCTCCTGCAGCAGGTTCTTGGTCTTACACCTCCTCCTCCTCCCTTAGAGGGTCCGCAGCCTGTCCGG